AATATATGAGTTTGTATGTAATGTATGAATATAATATACAAGTTTCACTTTTTAAATGGAATTACTGAAATAAATCTACTTTTTCATGATATTCTAATTTTATGACCAGCACCTGTACAACATTGCTCTGTTTGTGCCAGGGCACCGGATCTTTGTATATCTTTGTAGAGCTTATACTTTAGTATAAGTTAAATGTAAGCGCATACACGTACACACTCGTAGTATTATCCTGAATGCTCCCACTGACTTAATTTAACGGATGTATTTCCAAAAAGAGTAAAACAAAAAAGTATTCCCCTGAACCTGCAGCAAAACAGTGGGCACTGCTTGTCCGTGACGATGGTCCGTGACGTAGGCTCGTCCTCCATCACTAGCCGAGCCCACCGACTGAAAACACCCAGAAACCGAGCGAGCCTTCACGACGCATGGAAATATGTAGTTAGTTCGCCACTTCATTACATTTCGACAGCAGGGGGGTGGTTTGGTGGAGTTGGTGAGTCCATATTTGAACTAGTTTGAGACATAAGTGTTAATCGAAACCCTTTTGTTATTCGTCTGTGAGTGTTAGCTCGCTAGCTAGCTGATAAGCTAACGTTAGCCTAGCTAAGGAGACTGCGATCATGGCGGATGGATCCCGTTATTTCCAGCTGCAGCGTTGGCATCTGATTTGCATCACCCTGTTTCAGAAAACGTTCTGTAATATTATTCAAGACATTTTAATCTAAATGTCAAATCGTGCCCATGTCTGTTTTCTGACTCTATGCATAGCGCGTTATCTTTAAAAAAGGTCGTGTTTGGGAATGGAAGGTGACGCTTTGAAGTACGTTTCTTATTTGTCTAGTTTATTCCATACCGGAAGTAACCATTATCACAGACGCAAATATGAACATGAAACCTACTTTATTTTCATAACAGGTAAATAAACGATTGCGACTTATTGATTTGACGTTACTGAACTAGCATCCAGATACGTTCTTACAATACGTAGTATCCATTTACATCCACCATAATGGCCTTGCTTTAACGTCAGTACGCAGTTACTACTGTGCAGATTTATCTGGCAATTTGAAGTGTTTAATACAGTTTGTCTTTGTTTCCAGGAGATCAGCTGTAAGAGAAGTTAACATGGGTGGTCATGATGATGAAGATGTGGCATACGTTGTGAATAAACAAAAGCAAGATGAGGAGCTGAAGAACAAGATAAATGATGGCAGCCACTGGTGTGACCAGGAATCCATCGGTAACAACGCCAAGTGGGTTAAAGAAGGCCGGAACCAGCTGCGCAAAGTAGCTGAGAACCAACAAGATCAGGACCATAACTGTAACATCAACCAGAATGGCAACAAAGAAGACTTTCCTCACCAGAACATCACTCAGGAAGAACAACAGGGAAACGAGGAACAGAGCAAGTCTCCAAAAATAGCATTGAAACCTGGCCTCAGTCAGGAGGAGTCCAAGAACATCCTTAATGAGCCGTTACTCATCGACACGCTGGAGTCAACAGAGGAGAAAGATAAAGAGAGAGAAGAGGATGATAAAGAGAAAATTGACAAATCTGAGGAGGATGACGATACTTCAAGCGACACCAGAGGAGAAATAACAGCAGATCAGAGTAATGGAGAACCTCAAAGAGATGGGGGTGTTGTAGGCAGAAACGCTTGCCTTCTCTTCTCCAATATGAATGGGACTCCAAGTGATGAAGAGGCCAGCTGGCCCGCGCTGTCTCAGGACAACACATCTGACAGCACTCCAAATGGCAACAGAGGTGAACAAGAACACATGGAGTTAGTTCAACACACATCTAACCAGTATTTGTTTTTATAGTTAGGAGTTTTGACACCACAGATTATTCAAACAATATTCGTTCTTTAAATAAAATAAAGCTTCGCAAGTGCTGCAACATTTTATTGCCATCAATTTAGGCCGTATTGTAATAACACAAATTAACACGTTGTGTGTGATTTTTTTTCCTTTTCATCCTTTAGAGTCCTTTTGGGATTCCAGTGCTTTTGAGACGGACACAGACCTGCCTTCAGGATGGATGAGAGTGCGAGACACATCAGGCGCATATTACTGGCATATTCCCACAGGGACCACCCAGTGGGAGCCCCCGTCTCCTCTGGGTAAAGTTGGCGACTCCATGATGTCCTCCACCATGTCCCTGGAGACTACGCCCTGTGAGGAACCCGAGGTAAGGTCTCAAACAGCGACACTAATTTGTGAGTTAATATTTGTTTTTTGTAATTATTATTAATATTATTTGGCCTTTTTTTTTTTTTTTTTTAGGAAACTTGGGCTCAGCTTTCCAGCACAGATGAAGGTGGCGATGAAGGGGAGCTGTGGAAGGTGGGTGTTATCAGTTTTATAACAACAAATTTTCCTTTGCAAGGAACAAAAATGTGTAGAAATATTTTATTTTTATTTAGAAATTTATTCATTTCATTTGTAACAATTATATACACAATAAAGAACAAAAAAAACATGCAATCAAAAATCAAATCAAATAAAATGAAAGGCTTCAGAAGAAGAATAAATGGTATAATATCTGCCCCTTTTTTTATCCCCAGAATATGTTCAAAAATATCCTTTAATATCAGTGTTGGTGCAAACGTTTGACCTGTGCTACTCGCACATGTTGTTGCTCTGATAACTGGGTTAAAAATTTTTCAACCATTTCAGTTTATAAGAACTTTATTAATATTGAGTTCCTGCTCTACTCTTAGCAAAAAAAAAAAAAGAATCATAATTAATTCCTCTTGCATAAATGGTTTTAACTCTTTAATGGACAATGTCCAGGAGAAATTTTATTATTTTAAGAGATAAACTCAGCAGATATGTGAGAATTCAGTTAAATATCCTGCAAGGTTTTATAGAATACTTAGCATCATTTATATAAAATATAGCAATTAGAAGATTGAAGGTTGCAAGATAAATATTCCACTGGGAACAATGTTAACTTTAGCGTATTATAAAAGCTTATCATGGTGACACCATGGTAAATGGCATACTATTGTAATTTATTTCAAATGATCTTCATGAACTTGAAGTTTAGAGTTTCCTCATTTAGACTTCAGATGGTCATAATTCAGATGTTTGTGTTCAGGAGGAGGGAGAAGCTGCATCTGATCAAAGTCTGAAAGAGTTTGAAGGAGCGACTTTACGCTATGCATCCATCAACTTAAAGTATGTTAATTGATTTCCTAGTATTTAGTTGTTGTGTCGCATGTTTTAATTGTTTAACTTTGTTGCCTGGTCTTATCTGTCTTGTCTTGTGTTTTTAGTTACAATTGCTCCCAGTCTGAGGAAGAAGAGAAGCTTCCTCCACTGTGCACAGATTTAGAATCAAAGGTAAACCAGGATTCATGTTGGATTTTACAGTTTTACTGTGATGCACTTAAATACAAGATTAATACATGAACAATGCATGTGATTGTATTCTTTTATAACTGGACTGCAGTGTCTGTAATTAGATTTGAATCTGGATCTTGTCTGAACTGAATTTAAACTTGTTAGTTTTGTTGTAATTTAGTTTTGTTAGTTTCTGGAAGGACTTTTGTTCTGAATTGGCATTATGTAACTCGAGGGACAAAAGCCGCCTCAGAATTTAACCAGAAACAACAAACAACTGAACATCCTTTAGCTTGATTCATGACTGTGCTGATGTGCTGTGTGTTTGTGCTGTCAGTGTTTTGCAGTGCGCTCCCTGGGCTGGGTGGAGATGTCTGAGGAAGACTTGGCTCCTGGCAAAAGCAGCGTTGCTGTCAACAACTGCATCAGGCAGCTGTCTTATCACAAACACAACCTTCACGACACGGCTGGCATCTGGGGAGAGGTGAGCGGGATCTGCTGATGTGTGCAGGCGCTGTCATGACTGCATGGATTTGACTTTAGAACAAAGATGTGTTGATCAAGTTTATCCATTTAGAGTTGATAGTTGATTATTAAATGGTCAATATGACATGAAATGTTTTTATGTCGGGTTTCTCATACAAAGTATTCGTGTCACGACAGGGCAAAGACATGTTGATGGTGCTGGAGAATGACACAATGAACCTGATCGACCCACTGGGTCAGAATCTGCTTCATTCTCAGCCGATTGGCAGCATTCGTGTTTGGGGAGTTGGCCGAGACAATGGAAGGTCTGTATTTACAAAATGAAGGCGACGCTACATGTAGATGTTTTCATTACCTTTTTAAACATTGCTTTAAACTAAACCTGCTTCCAAAAAGAACAGTGGGCCTCATGCACGAACCGTTCGTACGCACAGATTTGTTCTTAAGTTGTGCGTACGAGTGATTTAGGAGAATTTGTGGCATTCACCAATGT